TCTCTCTCTCTCTCTGTGTGCGTGTGTGTGTGTGTCAGTGACATATGACTTGTGTGCTCTTTTCTTTTCATCAAACTGTGGAATTCATGTCTTATGCACACATGCTTTGTATGTATGTTATTATGTAACATGCACACGTTCTTGTAGGAGGCGCATAGTGTGATTGTATGTGTATTTTTCTAGACTACCAGCCTGGACGGCCAGGCTCCTCCAGGTTTAGTTCGGCTGAAGAAAAAAAAAAAAACATTTTTTTCTGATCGTGTGGCTCAGTGCCTGGAGGCACCTTGGTTTGCCGCCTATTCCCTAGGCATGATTGTGCTGCTTCTGCCCAAGGCAAGACAGTCCGCTGCAACTAGGCACATTTGGCTGGCAATGTGGTGAGCGCTGGTGTGGCCAGCCTTTTTCTCTGTTTCCAAGGCTTTCAGGATTGTCAGTGCAGCCTGGGCTTGTGACCCCTGGGGGGGAACATCCGATAAGATGTTTAGGAGGCGATTTTCATGTTTGGAAACCTGGAAAACCGGGATTATGGTTATCTGGATACTAATATCTGGGTGGGTCGTCCATTTTGTAGGTGCTGGAGGTAAATTTGCTTATGTTCCCGAAAGTTGCAGAGGCCATCCTTGCCACAAGGATGATCACACATTATGATCGCCCAAGGATTGCACAGCTCTGCGAAAAAGCTGGTCTGTACCATCGAGCTCTTGAGGTGAGTTTCTTTTTCAAGGTCTTGTTTCCAGTGCGACTCGTTCCATTGTTAGCTCTTGAAGTAAATGCCTTTCCTGAACTTTCTTAATATTTCTCACGGTTCTTGTATGTCGGGACTGGGCGATGGTAGGATATCCTGATGTTCTTGGTCTATGGGTGGTCACGTGACTGTTGGGTGGTTTGTACAGTCTGGTTTACTCGGGCCCAGCACAGCACAGCTTCAGACTACTTCACAGTATATGTCAACAGGTTAGGTCACTTGCACGATTCACATGAGGTCCTGTGTTCGATACTAGACTATGACTTAGGGCTGGTCATCCTCGTAGTACGTAGTCAAGGATTGAGGCTGGCGTAGCAGTTCCTTAGTACGGGATGTTTGGGGTGTATACTGCACTTTACCACGGGGCCGAAACGGGCTCCAAGGATATACGAGGGAATGGAGGATTGTCCATCTCTACCATCGCCCAGTCCCGACATACAACAACCGTGAGCTACCCCTTTGGTGGTGCGCAAGCAGTGTCTGTAATAGCTAACCTCCGTCAGCCCAAGGGGGTGTGTGTCCAGCCGTGCGTCAATCTAACGCACTGCTGGTGTCCAGCTCACTCTATTAACAATTCTCCAGGGTCCATAGTCCATGATACAGTCCATGATTCACGACTTAGGGTTGGCTATCCTCCTAGTATGTAGCTTAGGGCTTGAGGCTGGCATAGCAGTTCCTTAGTACGGGATGTCGGGTGTGTAGGAGATACTGCACCTTACCGCGGGGCCGGAACGGGCTCCAGGGATATACGATGGAACAGAGGATCCCCAGCTCTCTACCATCAATACAATAGAACACTGCAATACACACATGACTCAGGATTGGCTATCCTCCTAGTTTGTAGCATAGGGTTGAGGCTGGCATAGCAGTTCCTTAGTACGGGATGTCGGGGGTGTCAAGAGATACTGCACCTTACCAACAATGCCTTGGGTATCTAGGATCCCACCTTGCCAACAAGAGTGACTATGTCGGCTTACGACATTTTTGCAATTTTGGAATTTGACGAAGTAGATTGGGATCCGGTTGAGAACTTCAGCCAAAAGGTGCCTGCCATCAACTCGATTGATGATGGGCGGAAGAAAAGAGTTGCTCGCATTCGTCACGGTACTTGAGCGTTGGCGACACTTCCTCCTCGGGCGTTGTAGGTGCACTTGGGGAACCGATAACAACGCATTGACCTACTACAAGATGCAAGAACCGGTGAGTGGCACGATTGGTCCGTGGATGTACTTCATCGACCAATTCGACTTCACACCGAAACACATTTCGAGTCTCTCCAACCGGGCCTCCGATGCTCTTTCACAAAGATCAGACCTTTGCGTAGCAATCCATCTCTCGTTGGACTTCAGCGACGACCTTTAGCAACATTTTGTATGCGCATACAAGTCTGATCCGGAACATGCCACTCTTTACGAACAACTTTCTTCGGATCACCGACCGACCAGCCACTACCGCATCGCTAACAGCTACCTGCTTTTCCATTCACAAGGCAAGGACTTACTATGAGTCCCACGAGACCGTCGATTACGGACTCGCCTTCTCGGCGAGTACCACGACTTGCGACTCATTGGCCACTTCGGAGTCAATCGTACGTTCGCCGACCTCATTACCGATGTCACTCGGTATTGCAAATCTTGCGAAGTTTGCCGACGAAGCAAACCTTGCTATCTCATTCCCTACGGCGAATTGTGCCTGTTGCCTATCCCTCGGGAACCCGGCCTTTCCATTTCTATGGATGTCACCTGCCCATTCTCTCGCGATCGCTTCGGGCACGCCGACATTCTCACTGGCGTTGACCGGTTGAGTAAATACGCTCGATTTCTTCCTTGCAAGTATCACGCTACGCCTCCAGGGCTCGTGCGACTCTTGCACACTGGCTGGATTTGTTGCCACAGGGTTCCAGAAGACATCGCTAGCGATCGTGACACTCGCTTCATGTCGGCATTTTGGACTTCGCTTATGAAGGTGTCCGACACCGAGATGAAACCGAGTTCGGTTTGGCATCCACAAACGGACGGGCAAACAGAGCGGGCACATTAAACCGCTCAAATGATGCTTCATGCGCTCATCTGTTCGGACCAGAAGGATTGGGTGGACTGCCTCCCCGACGTCGAATTTGCCTACAACACTTCGTTGCATCCAGCGATCGGCGTGACTCCATTCGGGTTGCACCACGGTGGCCTGAAAGGCCGGATCTTCACCAATCTCTTAGTCGCGCAGACTGCCGACGTTGACGCACCTTGCTCTCCCGCCTCTATTCGGAAGTACCGGGACTTGCTGGCTCAAGCCCGCGCAAACATGCAAAAGGCTCAAGTCCGCATCCAACAGCAGGCTCAATCGGCGTCGTGTGCCATGTCCTATCCGCGCCGGCAACCTTGTTTGGGTCTCCGCGGAAGAGTTCGCACTCGAACAAAACCGTGCAAGCTCCGCAAGTGGTTCGGACCGTGGACCATCACATCAGCCGCGGGCAACGAGCCCGATGACCCATCATTTGTGATCGACACTGTGCCGCATCGACTTGTGCACCCGGTCTTTCACGCCTCCAAGTTGGCTACGTATACACCAGCCAAGAGCGACGACTTCCCAGACCGATGATTGCAGGACCCTCTGTCTATGGATGGTCATCAGGAGATCGATCGCGTCGTCACGGACCGCAAATACAGGAACAAGCTGATACAGTATGAGGCCTCATTTAAAGGTTGCGACCGTGATGACACAGTGGATTTCGCAAGCAGATTTGCAAGCATCCGCACCGCTGATCTATGCCCGCTACCAGTGACAAAGACTAGCTAAGGAAGCTTCACAACCTGCCCCTCCCACCCGGACTTCGGTCCCTCCCTCAGACAGACAGCTTCACCCTCACATGTAACCTAGGGGGGGGTGGCATTCTAAGTTCCACATGGGCCACTGCAGGGCCCGACCAGGTAGGCTAGGGGTAGGTAGGGGGCCGTACAGGCCTTATGTCCTTTCAGTATAGGTAGGGGCCCTTCAGGCCATGCTTTATTTCGGCCCAGGTAGGCCCTGTAAGTCGGTAGGCCCAGTAGGTAGGCCCTGGCACCTGTTTTGGCGCCAGTCCCCCGTAGAGCCCCAGTATGCGCCCAGGCCGTTTCAGGCCTTTTTCAAATTTGAAGATTTGAATTTGGGTGCCAACTTAGGCGCCAGACTTTTGGGCATCAGATAGTGGCGTGTTCGGCATTGGTGAGAGAAGCCTCCCAGTCGGACCAGCTCTATATATAGTTGGTCTGCCTAGGAGGCAGCATTCATTTCTTCAGGCACTTTGTTGCGGTATGCTTCAGTTGTAGTAGTAGGACTCCAGCGCTATCATAGTGCAGCAGTAAGGCTTCAGTGGTAGTATAGCGGGTCTGCCGTACATCACAGCAGAGAGAGAGAGAGAGAGAGAGAGACTGGGTTATGGTGGAGGCCACGGGACTTACCTCAGGACTTGACTGTCGGCTCCAGCGCTCCAGCTTAGTCTTCCTTGCGTCCATACCTGCATCAAGGCAACACCTTGCGCAGGTTAGTTCCTGGTACCCGGCAGAGAGAGAGAGAGAGAGAGAGAGAGAGAGAGAGAGAGAGAGCTTCTTCATCGTCCTCCAGTTTATCACTCTTCTCCTTCCCCGCCAGCGCTCTGGCCCCTCCTCCTTCACCAGACTATGTGTGTGTGTGTGTGTGTGAGAGAGAGAGAGAGAGAGAGCGAGAGAGAGATCTGTGACATTGAAACTTGGTGACATCGAGATTCAGACATATGAGCAACGAATGACATTATGGGGGACTGTTTTGGGATTGGTATCGACGGCATATTGGGTTGGCGACATCTCTCCTTCTTGCCCCCCTCTTCGTCTCTCCTTCCTCCTCATCCATGTATGCCGGTGCCTGGCGCTTCGTCTCTGTGTGATAGCTTATGTCCCTCTTCACACCGTGTGATGATGATGATGATGTTCAGTCTGTGTCACGACATTGATTGGGTCTGATTATTGGTATTTCAGTCTTCCGCTGTGCTATCCTTAACACATCTGTGAGAGGTCGGTTCTGGGTTCTGGTCTGCACCATATTGTTATGCGACACTTACCCACCCCCCCAACCACCCACCCCACCTGTTTGTGCTTTCTTTCGCGCTTCTGTTTGACCTGAATTACTTCAGAGGGTCTTGGCGCGGCTCGTGGTGCACGACACGTGGAAACTCCCAATTTTTATTTTATCTTTTTCGGCCGTGGATTTGCAGAAAACCAGTTGTCCAGGATCCCGGACAACCACCCTACAGGATGTCCGATGGAGACATCTGGCCAGGACATCCGCCCATCGGACATCTGGTAACAAAGCAACTTAATTTGTTTGTTATACCGTAGTGATGGCCCGGAATCTCTAGAAGTTTACACGTGGCCCAAATCTTTTGTTTCCAACGTTTCCTTGAAAAACATTCGTTCTTTCTCTTCTCTTTTTAAAAAAATGTGTGTCAAGATATATTTGCTCTAATTTCTCATCCTTTTTGTAACATTTGTGAGTTGGCTTTGTTTCGTTTGCAGCACTACACAGATCTGATGGACATCAAGCGTGTGGTTGTCAATACACATTCTATTTCACCCCAAGTAAGTCTCACGTTTGTCATTGTCCCTGTTATGTAAATGGATCTCCAGCCTCCACTGTGTGCATTCTTTTTAGAGTGCATGTTACTGTGTTTTGTTTAACATCAGTGTGCGGACGAAGCATGTGAACTGTTGAACAGGATGCACTCACGGCTTGAGAAGGGATAAGCATCAACATTTCCTCTGTTTTGGGGGCTATGGTGGTGTTCAGTAGCTACATAGTACATCACTACATTATAAGAATCACTATTTGGCGGCCTGTGACCAGCAGCCGATCTGGGCCTCCGTTTACTTGGCGTACGACAGTCCAGATTGCCTGCCGATTGTTTTCCATGTCATCAACTCGCAATCTGGACTGTTGTCGGCGTGGAACCGTGCTATCCAGATTGAGTGTTGATCGCTGGGCTGGTAGCGAATTTGTGCTGCGCCAGTAGGCCCTGGCGATGTGGACCGTTGTCGGCATTGAACAACTGCCAACCAGGTGAAGAGATCTGCCGGCGCATAGGAACAGCCGTATAATCCGCCTCGCATCTGTCACCTACTGGAGAGCTGTTACGGGGCTCCTGCAACCAAACAACAAGTCAATATCCAAGCACAAACGGATAGAGAACCTCACATGCGCCAGTGCTGCCACGAAAAAAAAAAAAAAAAAAAAAAAAACATTCTGCAACATCTAGACAGACTCCTAATCGCCTTATGCGGTGCGCCGATAAACCGCAACGCTTTCAGTTTTCCCTTTTGTTTGCCTCGCGCCGTGCGGCGTCAGTTGTATCCCTTTTTTTTCCCCTCTGTTCCGTGGCTCGAGCAACCAAACAACAAGTCAATATCCAAGCACAAACACTCGTGGTCTGCTTTTCACTTTCTCCTTTTGTTTTACCTCGAGCCGCGCAGTTTGCTTTCAGTTTTCCCTTTTGTTTTACCTCGCGCCGTGCGCCTTTGGATGTGGAGATAGGCAGCTCAGTTATGTGCGGACGCTGGACGGTGTTTTTTTTTCAAATGTGTTTGGGCCTGTGTAATTTACACGTAGCAGGTTCCGGAAATCGTAGGTTTGAGCCGTTGATTTTGGCTTATCGAATGATGAATCCTTGAAAAACGGCAGGTTCGGGATGGAGTTTTTGAGAGAGTTTTTTCCCTGTTATTGTGTGTTCGCGTTTTTTTGTTTTTGTTTTTTTCCGGACTCGAACCTTGGAACTGTGCATTGTAGGCAGAGTGATGCCAGAAATGAGAGGCGCGCCTCGCGGTTTGCTTTTCACTTTCTCCTTCTGTTTTACCTCGAGCCGCGTGGTTTGCTTTCAGTTTTCCCTTTTGTTTTACCTCGCGCCGTGCGGCGTCAGTTGTATCCCTCTTTTTTTCCCTCATGGACTTTGGTATCACAGATATGCTTTTGCGGTGGCTATTTCTTTTGGCCGTTGGTAGTTTGTCACGTTACACTCCCAGGAGAACCTTCCTTGATGCGCATGACTCTAATTATGGCCAGGCCTGGATGCATCCGACTGCAATCACATCCACTGCTTAGACGATAGAATCCTAGTGTGAGTATTCCCTCCGTTCCGTTACCGTCTGCCCGCGGTATTCCGACGGGTGTCGATTTGGCGGGCAAAAAGCAGTTGGGGCAATATGCAGCACACCAACGCACGCACTCACGCACATACCCATCGCGAACACATGCACGCACTCACCCACGCACCCATAACTAACTCTCACACACAAGCGGATATTCTGCTGCAGGGAAATCAATACAATATTATTTACCCACGCACGCATCTCTATAGACTAAGAACTCTACGCACTGTCTCACATGCGCGTAGTGTTGGTGCATGTCAGGGGTATGGCTAACTATGGGCGGCATGGTGAGTTCTTATGGATCAGTCAAATGTTCGTGGCCATGCTGCCAGGGTTCAACTTCCTGATGAGTCGGTGAAAGTCCAATGAAACAGTCTGTCACAGTCTTGCTTTTTTGCCTGAAGTAGACAGTGAATATGACAGCGCACACTCATGTGCCCACTTACACACATGTACACACATACACAGAAAAGTAGGGTTACGGCTAAGGGATAGTGCACACACATACACAACGAGCGAGCAAGCGAGAGAGAGAGAGAGAGAGAGAGAGAGATGGATCGTCCTTTATTATGTTGTTGTTTTTGTTTGATGAACGTTGGCAGTGTGTTTTGTTGTGTTTATTGGCCTTGGTTCGTCTTCTTTTTAATGTAGGTTGTTCTGAGGTGCTACATATTTTCAGACTTTCGATTTTAATTTATTTTCAATTCCTTTGTTTTTTTCATATTTGTTCGACTTCGTTTTTTGTTCGTTCAGCATTCCCTCATTGATTTCCTATGGGAGTTTTTTCATATTTGTTCTACTTTGTTTTCTGTTCTTTCTGCATTCCTTCACTCGGTGAATGGAGGGCGTCTGAGACCGGAGAGAGAGAGAGAGTACTGATTTCTTGCTCTTTAATTTTACCTTTGGGGGGGGGGGGGGGGGGGGGGGGAGAGAGAGAGACGTCTGGATCCATAGCGCTAGGGATAGCAACCGGAGTCAAAAATTGTTGGAGATGGTGTGTGTGTGTGTGTGTTAGGCCGGTGGGAGTGAAACGGTATTCACCTGTTAGCAGTAGCGAATGCAGATCCCAGGGTTCGATCCCTAGTCCTTCCCTTGCCCGTGTACAGTATCTGTGTCGGCCCCTATAGTTGAATCCATGAGCTGTAAATTCACAACAGTTGGTATGCTGTCGTAGGTCCGTAGGTGGTAGGGGCTCGCGATCTGTAGACCTTTTGGATAGAGGTCTTAGTGAGGCCTAGAGGGCGTAGCTGTAGGTGTCCTGAGAAGTCAAGGTCGTAGCTGCTACAGTCCTGAAAGGTCAAGGCCGTAGCTGCTACAGTGTTCGAAAGGCCAAGTCTCCAGCCTTCCGGAAGGTCCCAGTAGTGGCCTTTCGAACTTGCTCACGCTTAGACAGAGGCAAGTGGGCAAGTGGTGAGCCCAACTGCAGTACGCCGGCGGTGCGACTGCATCGAGTTGGCAGTGCAAACCCATGCAGTCAGCGGTACAGGTCCCAGTCAGTCACAGTCCAGTTAAGCAAGTACCGTGTGGGACTGTGTGCACCAGGGGCATGGAAAAGGGACAGACCAACAAGCTACAGAAGTATAAATCAAAAGGCAACGCCCAGCCATTCCTTCATTCCTGCGTAAGCCATGCGGAAGCGCTGCCACAGCGACTTGTGCGAGGTGGTCTGCAGTGAGCCTGAGGACGAAGTGGGCGAGAAGGAGAGCTTAGCCATAGCGATAGGKGTAGTAGCGGCCATAGCCGCCATAGCTGATAGGAGAGTGTTGTGTGTGTGTGTGTGCGTGAGTGTACATTGTGACGCTTGTGGGATATCCAGGGTGATCTGGTGTGTGGGTGAACAGAGAGTAGTACAGGCGCCATAGCTGTTTGAAGTGAGCTTGTATCTGAACTGCATTCTTGGCTACCATATCTCCAAGTTCTGAGTGGGCACTTGTCGCCAGTTTGCTGCGCAACCTGTCTGCATACATGTGAAGTGTGAATGAAAGCGAGTCTGATTGCTGAGAGGGGACCTTTACTACATTAATTTTTTATATCCCGGGCTGAGAGAGAGAGAGAGAGAGAGAGAGAGAGAGAGACCTTCTAGGACAATTATTTAGATATTTTGATAGCTGAGCAAATGTACACATGGGCGCCCGTGAGTTGTCCATAGGTGAGAATTTGATATATACACCACACACACCCAGAGAAAGAGAGAGAGAGAGAGAGAGAGAGAGAGAGAGAGAGAGAGAGAGAGAGAGCGCCCAGTTTCATGGCTCTTCGATTGTAACTTAGGGTTGCAGCTTAAAATTCTCTGGTATATTTGTTTCTCCCAGGAGAGAGAGAGAGAGAGAGAGAGAGAGAGAGAGAGAGAGAGAGGACCTGATCCATATTGCTAGGGATAGTAACCGGAGTCAAAAACCGTTGGAGACGGTATGTGTGTGTGTGTGTGTGTGTGTGAGCTTTCTGGCCCTACGGCCCGGGTTTTTAGGGGGGGCAGCGACTGGTAGGCAGAGGCGGTCCAGCCCCCCAATTTTCACGCGCAGCAGAATTCACAAAACAATCTGAAAATCGGAGATCCTATAGATCAGGTTGTGATCTAGCGAGGAAAAATGTCAGAAAAATAAAGTAAAAAAAAATTTAGAGCGCGAAAAAAGTGCTGCACCGATTTGTTGCATTTTCCTGTTTTGTCACTCACAACTTTTAGTACCCCAACCTCTGCGATTTTTTGCATTCAGGAGAATGAATGAAAGGCTCTGAAGATTGGAGGTGGATTTGGCCGTGATCTGTCCAGGAAAAATATCAAAAAATAAATGAAATTGTTTGGACCGCGAAATAAATCGCTGTGGCAATTTGATGCATTTGCCACGTTTGCCACCCAGCCGGTTCTTCCCACGGTGGTACTGGTTAGGCTTAATGAACCTGTCATACGGGTCCCCACGAATTTAGGACGGCGGGGGGAGTGGTGTTTTAACCTTCATGTTGAGATGCATCTTCTGCAGTCCTCTTCGGCTTATGTAACTACGCAGCGTTCCGCTATCAACTAAGGCGTCTAGGCGTTCTCCACGCATATCTACATCAGCTATTATTAGCTGCCAATCTTATTTTTTCTTTACTTCGGCCCAGGCTTGGCGACGAGTGATCAGCTCATCACCGATGCCTGTGAGGGAGCCACCTAGAGAGATCCTAGCACAAGTGACCTCTGGACAACTACCGGTAGCCAGGTGGGGGCCTACGTTACTCTGCCTTTGGGGCCTTCAGACAGGAGGGTACCTGCGTAGCGCGCGCGTCTACCTGTTTGTATATGTTTAGAGGCCTAGCAGGAGCAATTGTAACTCCTACTGGCTGTTCCCTTTTGGGTACCTGTACTCCGGGCAAAAGGGAACAATGTTGCTGGGGTCACTACACTTTAGGCACTAATGGGCGTCGAGCCGGTGCTTCCACAGAGAATACTCCATGTTCAT